TATATATATAATTTTGTTAGGCTTATATTTAATTGCTGTATGTCATCTATAACTGATTAAAAATTTCCATTAGCATCTAACATTATCAGGGTGTGGTTTCATCCCTGTAGGTTAGTATAAGATGTAGTAAAAATGCAATTTTCAGGACCTTTAATATAGTACACACAAACAGTAATAACAACAACATTTAACTTTCAATAGTTAATAATCAAGTACCTTGAAATGGATAATGAATCCTCTTTTGATAAAAGATGATATAGCAAGCTGGTCTTGTCCACAATAATATTCAGCTGCAGGCCCGTTCAAGGTTGACTTCTTCTTGACTAAGTTACAGACAGAAACGTTGCGATCCATTCAGCGCCCTCTAGCGGCGAATAATAAACAATAATATAGGGCTCGGTTTGATGTCTCTGCTGGGTCCTAAAGGTGAAAATGTATGGAGCTAGATTTGTTTCTTTATTATTCAATCAAAAATATTTAGTTTTAAAGAAAAATTAAGTATGTAGTAGTTAAAAAAATAATATTTCAAATAAAAAACACGTTTAATTAAAAAACTTATGTCAATGATAATAAAATATTTTGGATTGCAAAAAATAATCAATTGTCCTATTATGCAGTTACCACAATTTTCATTGCACACTCATTAATTTTGCTCTCTTTTCTGCTGTCTTTTATTGCACATCTAGAATCTTTGCTTGCAGGTTGAAATGTTTTGCTTGTGAGTTGAAAAGTTTTGAACCCATGAATGCCGGGGTTAATTTTGTGTCTTTATTATTCAAACAAACATATGAAGTTTTTGACCAAAACTAGGTACAATGCAATTAAAAAAATTCACACTGCAAAAAATAAACTATTGCCATTTTATGCAGTTACCACCAGATTAATTAATTGTGTGCACATTCATTTTGCTTTCGGTTTTGTTTCATTTTTGCAGATCTAATATCTTTGCTTTTGAGTTGAAAAGTTTTGCAAGTTGAAAACTGCATCTCAGTGGGCGGGATCTTATGAAACACCTTATTCTATTGGTCATCTTGATTGAGGTCACAGGTTGGCCACGCCCATTACATTTTCGCGCGGTTGGAATTGCCTTCCGTTACAGGAGGGAGCTAATGGCGAGCAGCAAGTCTTCTTTAAGGTAAGGTAACTGAAACTGTATAATAACTTGTGTATTACCATCCACATTTCCCATCTGATTATGTTACGACTGCTAGAATTAAATTCTAGTCAGTGATATTTTTGAATTTTCTCGATTAACTAACATTATGCTGTCGGCAGGGCCGGAGCAAGCTGAACTGCCGCTCTAGGCAGAGGACAATCATGCCACCCTCAACCCCAATGTGAAAACGAAAGTGATCGGTTATGAAAATGAAGTGAGGTGTCGCAGACCTCTTTTCCAGCGCACTATGCGCGGATATAACTAAGGACGCGTGGGTGCTGATGTAGGTGTCGCTGATTCCGCCCTCTCTATTCTGTCGTCTATGGGCGAATATATCTAAGGATGCGGGTGGTGAGGGAGGTGTCGCGGACATAACTGAGGTAAGGGAGGGATATAACTGAGGACGCGTGGGTGCTGATGTAGGTGTCGCTGATGCCGCCCTCTCTATTCTGTCGTCTATGGGCGAATATATCTAAGGATGCGGGTGGTAAGGGAGGTGTCGCGGATGCCGCCCTCTCTATACTGCGGCCGCCTAGGTTGCCTTTATGGACGCGCCGGCCCTGTCTGTCGGCCATCAGTAAGTTACTGTACAGTTGTAAAGGACAACGCAAGGCCAGTGTATTTTGGAAAATATACATTGATGTACCGTTTAAGTCAGGCTTTTTGTCTGTAGACGATAGCCAGGTGTACAGTAGGTCTGCAAACAGACTGGGAAACATTATCGGCAGCCCGTTGCTCTTAGTTTCCACTCAAGAGCTACTGTCTCTTTGAACTAAAGCATCATATTCATTCTCCACTGTAAGAAAATGTAGTAACTCAGTGTATGTGTATTTCATTACAAACGTGACAAATATTTATTTAGTATATTTTGTTAGGCATATGAATGTTAGTTCAGTCTGTTAAGCAATAATTAATCTTTGTTAATGTTAACTAAACATATTAATGCGTTAGTGAAAAAATTATGATGAACGAGTTTGTTTAGCATAAACTGTTAACGTTAACTTAGTCATGTTCTATTGTATCCCCTTATATTAACAGCTTGATGTAATTAGGCAATGATGTTAGCCAATAATTTATTTGTTCATTGACTAGATAACATAACTAAATAAACAACATTTATTCAGTAAAACTAAATTTTTTAACGTTTTTAATGTTACTTAACTCACATTGTTCAACAGGCATGTTATTTATGTTTGTAGACTTTTTACTAACATGATTTATCTCTAGCAAAGCATAAGTTAAGGGAATTAGGAACATTGTTTATAGTGTACACTACTTCAACACGTTACATTTCTAAACTGACTCACCACTAACCCAACATTATAACTGATGTGTTACTAACATCTTTGGGTTTATTACAAAGCAGTGATTAATGATTTTACTATATATATATATATATATATATATATATATATATATATATATATATATATATATATATATATATATATATATATATATATATATAGAGTTAACGTTGGAGAGGTGCATACTTCATAAAAAGCTTTCTGATTTCCTTGAAAAATGCGTAGTTACTAGGTTATAATCCATGTTAGTAAAGAGTTTACAAATGTTAGTAACAAATTATACAATGTTAAAGTCTTTGTTTTTGAAAAAAGTAACAGGGCAGTTTGCAGGTGACCTTCGCTATATAATTTTTTTAGGCATTATTGCAAATATTTGGTCTTTAAAGGAACCGTTATAAATCAGTTGTAAAGTAATTTAAATGTGGTTTACAAAATACAACAATACATAGGCACGAAATATGTGGAATAAAATATTACATTAATTAGAACTATTTTTTCATCTGTTTCTTTAGTTTATTCTAACAGGTATATCACTGTCTTAGCGGGCATAAAACATCTGCTTTGACTCCTCCGATGTCCACATCTGCGCTGACTCCACAGTCGTTTACATCTGCACTGTCTTAAATCAATGAATCAACATCTACAATGATTCCACAGGCGTCCACATCTGCATTATCTCCTTAGACATCAACATCTGGATTGACTGACCACAGACATTTATTCACTAAGCTCATCAATCACCACCTGATGTGTGTTGAATTATTTTCTGGAATTGTGTCGGATTTGGACAATAGTAGATTTTGACTTTTTATAAGTGATTATAGTGATTATATAAGTAATATAAACAGCTCTTTAGTAATCATTTAATGAGTCATACAGTTTTATGTCTGTGTATTTTGCAATGAAGAAATATAAATGTTTTATTTATTTTTTCTTAATTCAGCTACAATATTTCCCAGCTGTAGCTTTTAATAACAAAAATACTGTTACATAAATGGTATAATACACTTTACTACAGTAAAGTACTATAGCATGTGTCTGTTTAAATTATATTTTTATGTGGAAGGAATGTGTAGCAGATACATTTATTTAGTAGTGCATTTGCCAGCATATACATATTTTGCATAAGCTTGTTAAGTAATAATACTGTAGTAGTAGAGATGTTCAAAAATGCCTGTCAGCTTTAATTTAATATAAAATTGTGGCAGCGACCTGAATCAACCTTTTTAAAGATGAGTTTACAGTCCATCTCATGATATACATACATACATATATATATACATATATATATATATATATATATATATGGACTCCCTTTAGTGACCAGAGCGAGCAACAGGTCTTCTTTAAGGTAAGTTAACTGAAAGTGTATAATAACTTGTATATTACCATCCACATTTTCCTAAACTCTGTCTAGTCTGTGATATTGATGAATACTCTTGATTGACTAACAGATGAAATATGTACAAGATGTATATAAACCAATACATGTGTTCAAAAGTATGTGCACAGCTGAGACGTGCACAACTGTTCTCCATCGTGTCTGCATCCAGATTATGTTGGTGGACATACAGCTAATCTGACTAGACAAAGTTTAATACTAGCAGTCGTAACATAATCAGATGGGAAATGTGGATGGTAAGTGACCTCAATCAAGATGACCAACAGAATAAGGTGTTTCATAAGATCCCGCCCACTAAGCTGCAGTTTTCAACTCGCAAAACTTTTCAACTCAAAAGCAAAGATTTTAGATCCGCAAAAATGAAACAAAACCGAAAGCAAAATGAATGAGCACACAATGAATTAATCTGGTGGTAACTGCATAAAATGGCAATAGTTTATTTTTTGCAGTGTGAATTTGTTTAAAAAAATGTTTTTTTTTTATTATTTGAATTTTTTTATTTTTTTAATTGCATTGTACCTAGTTTTGGTCAAAAACTTCATATGTTTGTTTGAATAAAAAAGACACAAAATTAACCCTGGCTTTCATGGGTTCAAAACTTTTCAACTCACAAGCAAAACATTTCAACCTGCAAGCAAAGATTCTAAATGTGCAATAAAAGACAGCAGAAAAGAGCAAAATTAATGAGTGTACACTGAAAATTGTGGTAACTGCATAATAGGACAATTGGTTATTTTTTGCAATTTCATACTTAATTTTTCTTTAAAACTAAATATTTTTGATTGAATAATAAAGAAACAAATCTAGCTCCATAAAAATGACGGCAGAATATCTAAAATACGTGTATCATTTCCTCCAAAACAGCTGTAGAGACTGACACAAAGGTAGAGAAAGCGTTTTTATCCGCATATAGATCAGCTATGAAGCACGAACGCTTGTATCATCAATAATTAAGAGTCCAGGTGAAACGGATATAAAAAACACAACATGCAGAGGCAATGTGATAAAAAAAAAAATAACATTAACTTACCGTTACAGCTTACATAAACTTTAGAGCGCAAAAACATCATCACGTACGCAAATTAATACAGCTGTTCTCTGTCAGCTCAATCAGTTGATGGTTGAAATTCAAAAATTTTAACCCAACTGGTTGAGTTATTAATTAAATAACCCAATAAAGGTTTAAAATAACCCAACAAAGCACCAAATATTTTTAACTCAACTATTGGGTTAAATAAATAACCCAACGTTTTTTAGAGTGTGTATGTATATATATATATATATATATATA